TGTTTCATCTATGAACCATCTAATAGTATGTGGCTTGTGAGACTAAGAAACTGAATTTTAAATTTTATTTAGTTTCAATGGATTTAAATGGCAACTTGTAGCTAGTGGCTTCTGTCTCAGGTAGCACGATCATAGCGTATTGGCTTTGCTGAAGCATACTAACTAGGAAGAAAATGTGGTTTGGGCCAGAGGGTTCTGGAAGGGCATCATTTGGCCCAGGAGGCAGATCTGAAACGGACTTGTGATGAACTGATGTTGGTAACTTGGAGGCACTTCCTGATTCTTTGTCCCAGTGCTACTCAGTTGGATAGATGCCTCTCCAACAGAAAGCATTGGCCCTACTGGACCTTCCTCTTCCCAGTGGCTGTTGGAGGCTTGCTTGGAGGCTTGCTTGGAGGCAGGGAGAGTGCTGTCTACCAGCTTTGTGATCTAGCTGAAAGGACTTTCATTTTGAATTACAGCTTAGCAGCTCTGTGTGTCTACCTATCAGTGTACACATCCCTCCCTTTTCCTCCCCTCCCAGCCATCCTGGGGTTTGAATTCAGGGTCTCATGCTTGTTAAGCAGGCATTCTACCAATTGAACCACTCTGCCAGCCCTTTTTTGGGTTGAGTATTTTCAAGATAGGGTCTCCTGAACTATTTGCTCGGGGCTGGCTTTGAACCGTGATCCTTCTGATCTCTGCTTCTGAATAGCTAGGATTACAGATGTGAGCCTCTTGATATGATTTGTCTCCTTGGTGATTGAGAAGCTTCTTCATGGGTTGTGGTGAGGGTGCTGTTGAGCTGTTTTTCCAGCTGCATCCTTGGAAATTCTTTCACAGGCTTATCCCCTACCTTGAGTCTTTGTCATAGCTGTTCTTTACCTCAGGCTCTCTGGAAGTAGGGAGAAAGATTTAAAGAGAATAACTGAAAGTTAACTATATAGCATCAGTCTTCAGCTTGTAATAGGCAAATAGTCTATGACTTCATACTTGTCCACATAGAAAGTTCCTTGGGATGGCATTTTCTTTACTACACCACAGGGTATGAAAAGTGGTCGAACCACGAGAAATATTTTACTTTTGAAAGGGTTTTGTATTCACCTATTTCCTTGCTAGGTTTCTAGTTTATACTTGTTACACAAAAAAATTCACCAGTGTGGCATTAAATTAAAACTCATGGGTGCTGTTGTGCTTTGAGAATAGCAGAGTAACTAGGAATTGGTTAGGTTTTGGAACTCTAGAAATTCACTATATTAAATATATATTTATGCACAAATTTGTACATCAAACATATTTTTTTCAAAATATTTTTTCTAACTATTTCTTTCATCTCGATTTATTGTGTATTCATTGCTGAATTGCTAATTCTTCCTGCCCCGCAAGGGTGCCAGAGGTGGAACTCTCTGGGCAAGTGCTCTGCCAACAGAGCTACACCCTAGCCTCTCATTGCCAAGTTTTTGTCATTCATTAGTTGTTTGGATCTACCTGTTTTTAATCCTTATTCCCAATAAAATTTACCAGTATTCCCAATTTGGTTCCCAGATGTGCTTGCTTCCTAAGTTATACATAGTGTGATTGAAAATGTCTGAAAGGAAATGATCTTTTATTTTGTAGCAGAGCATTATTATACTGACTCCTCTCTGAATAAAGTGGACCAATGCAGGCCTTTATTATATTGCCCATTTTAGTGTGCTCCACTTTATCCATTCATTAGTTTCATTGTGGAAAATTGTTTGTCATTACGATATTTTGTGCAAGATGTTTAGTCCTCAATGGGAACAGGGTTTCTTCATCTGTTAAGTGACGGGAGGTTTGGACTAGAAGGTCTCTGCAGCGTGATGATTCTCCTAGTCGAGTAGTCTTGTGCCCTCTTTTCACCCCCAAACCTGTACTCTGTGAACTGAGCAGTTCACATTTTATGCTTTATACATTGGGTTAAATGGAAATCAGTAAAATTCATTTCGGTCTTTTCTTGGGCGATTTTTAAAAGGTGGATACTAGAAAATTAAAAACCATGATGCTCATTTGTGGCCCATTGAGCAGTGCTGATGTAGGTATAGGAAACAGAAATCGAACGCAGGGAAGAGAGAGGCCTTCAAAATGTAGTTTAAAATAAGTATCTCTTATAGAAACAAGATTTATATGGTGCAGCTGTGACTCTGGAAAGTGGGTATTCACATGGTCTTGATTGAATAAAAATGACCAAAATAATTTAATTAGATTAGGTCAAATCAGAAATAGGAACTGCAGTTAACAGATGGATTCCTGGCATAGCTGCTAGCCAGGTCTGGAGGTCAGGAAAGATGCAGGAAGGCATTGGTGGCAGTCCTCATGTGAGCCTCACTGATGACAGACTATAAACCACAGTTTTTGAACCTCTCTGCCTGGGGCTTACCTGAGTGTGGTTGCAGTTGTGGTGGGCAGAATGTTTACTCAATACTATTTTCCATGCCGCTGGGGAATGGACTTGTAATGGGAAGGAGTAAGGAACTGGAAGGAAGGGGAACAAAGCTAAGTGTCAGGTACAATTACTCTCAGTGAGGGCTCTCATTTTGTCCCTTCCCATGCCTGTGGCAACATCTTTCCACCCCCTGCAGAGCCTTTAGCTGATAAAAAGTAAGTGCCAACTCCATTGCTGCTTCTTCGAGCTGGCTCTGCTTCTGCCTTGGGCTCCATGTACCTACAGGAGTAGGGGCAAAGGGCAAAGCCATCACCTCTGTCTGTGCTCCCTTTCCCCTGGAGCGGGCTAGGACCCCCATTCAGTCAGTGGCATTTCTTCCCATGACACTTTGTGGACTCTAGAGGATGAAGCCATTCTCCTACAAAACAAGGGTTTCCAGGACATAGAAGTAGACATTACTTTCCTTAAGCTAGCATGAATGGTTGTTTGCTGCATGGCTGGTTTAAGCTATTATCAAGTCTATTCTAGTATTTATTTTCTTGCAAGTTAGAGCGAGCCTTGAATAAATGAAGACTGACTGCTTAAGCAGTTTAGGCATAAATTCAATTTATAAATATTTGTTGCATTTGGCACTGGAGATTTCTACTTCTCTTTATTTTGGATTGTTGCACAGGAAAACAGCATGTTTTTAGGAAAATGGTATTCATGATTCTTGCCTGTCTGACCTCTGTATTTGGAGAAATTAGATCAGAAAATTCATGGCAGTTAGCGGCGGAGTGAGGAGAACTTTGACTTTAGCTGACAGCTGTCACCTAAAAACTCCAGACCTGGGGACCCTCTTAGGTGTTATGTATCTAGTCCTGACAGTGAGCCGGAGTGTTGTTTACATTTTCTGTAAGCAGATTCTTCCCTTGTTAGGAATATGCTAGAATAGGGCAGGTAGGATAGGAATTTTAATCTGTCCTGCTGGTAGTGCCTCAGCAGTCATTCAGCCCACTGTTTATTCCCACATTCCTATAGAAGTGTGCCAGCAGAGTTGATGATTGAGTCTGTTTATGGCATCACTTTGGAAATTCTTCAACAAGATACTGCTTTTTCAAGTAGGCCAGTATCACACAATGCTTAATGTGCTTATAAAAGAGAAAAAAAAAATTCCAAAGATGTCTAAAATTTCAGGCATTCTTATGTGAATTAGTTCTTTATTTGGTTGTTGATTCAATTAGCACTCAGCAAAAGCACTTTCCTGTTTTGATTGCAGAAGCATTCTTTAAATTGATTATTTATTAATTTATTTTTGTGGTAATGGGGCTTGAACTCAGGGTCTTCACCTTGAGCCACTCTGTCAGCCACCCCACCTTGCTTTTTTTTTTTTTTTTTGTAGTAGATATTTTCGAGATAGGGTCTCATGAACTCTCTGCCTGGGCTGGCTTTGAACCACTATCCTCCTGATCTCTGTCTCCTGAGTAGTTAGGATTACAGACGTGAGCTACCAGCAGCTGGCTCTAAATTGGTTATTTTAATCTAATACCAGATCTATTAGAGTTTGTATAAAATATTAGTGTGTACTATGTACTGTAAGCACATAGGATGCTGGCGGATGTGCCTGTTTGCCTCTCCCTACCTGCTCAGTCCTGCTTCATCGTAAGTGGGCTTATAGTGGTAGTGAGGTTTGCATGAATATTTTGAACTTTATTCTGTTAAAATAACTTTCAGTTTTGACTAGTTATTGGGAAAGTTCTCTGTTTCTCCTAATGAGTAGTTATCATCTACTAAGTGTCCTTCCAGGTCAGATGGGGTCTTAGAGCCCAGCATGCCTGAGGGTGAATAAAGCCTGTTGACTGGGTCCCTCTGACATCAGCACAGGCCCAGAGCCATGAGTGAAACTGGTCCTCACGGAGAATGAAAGCTTTTCTTGTAGTCTCTTTCTGAATCTTATATATTCCTACCATTAAGCATAATAAAATTATGAATTTATTATACTGTCCTCAGGCTCGCTTTTCACTATCATTATGGGTGCTTTCTTGTTAGCTTTTTTTGCTGATGCATAGTTGTATGTGGCCTGTAAATACCTAATTTGTACGAAGTGACTGATTTTGGTGTTTATATAATCCTCTAGTCAGTTTAACTAAGTTGAGCTTTTCACAGCCCCTGGTGCTGCTGCCGCTCATCTGATTGCACTGCTCAGGGGAATAAGGTGAAGGGCGGCTGTTGGTAACCAGAGCATTTCCAGGGCTTTAGTTCAGCAGATGGGCTGCTTGGCTATATTCATACATCTGCTTGCCTGCTGTGGCAGCTGCTGCTGCTTCATGTTGTGTTCTTTTGTTCTGTTCCATCCAAGAATGGAATGCTAGGAAGTGTAGTGAATGGATTAATTTAAGGTTAAGGTTTAGTGTTTTGCTTGCTTTCTGAGTAACCGATCATAATAATGCGTCTGGTAGAAGCTAATGAGTTTCTCTTAAAGTGAACTAGATTTATAAAATACATCTCAGTGAGGGGGCTAGATTGGTATTGTTGATGGAGACGAAATTCAAATGCGTAAAATACTGGCAGTTTTTATCATTTGTTTCTAATTCTTTGTTTTCTTCCTTCTTTCTCCCCACTGCCCCGTCCCTTCTAGGACCTACATCCAGACTTCACCTGACACTGCAGGGTCCAAGAGAATTAAAGAAATATGGAATGACATGAAGAAGATTAGTTAAGGATTATAGGCTTTTGAGGACAAACCCCTCAGTGACGTGAAGCACAGACAAGCTCCCAAGCTGTAGTTTGGAGGAGCCGTGTGTTGGAAGATGGCAGATCCAGGAATGATGAGTCTTTTTGGCGAGGATGGGAATATCTTTAGTGAAGGCCTCGAAGGCCTTGGAGAATGTGGTTACCCTGAAAATCCAGTAAATCCCATGGGTCAGCAAATGCCGATAGACCAAGGCTTTGCCTCTTTACAGCCTTCCCTTCATCATCCCTCCACTAATCAAAGTCAAACCAAGTTGACCCATTTTGATCACTATAATCAGTATGAACAAAAGGTGCATCTGATGGATCAGCCCAGCAGAATGATGAGCAGCGCCCCTGGGAACGGACTGGCATCTCCGCACTCACAGTATCATACCCCACCTGTCCCCCAGGTGCCACATGCTGGCAGTGGCGGTGGTCCATTGGGAGTTTACCCTGGCATGCAGAACGAAAGGCATGGGCAATCTTTTGTGGACAGTGGCTCCATGTGGGGTCCCCGGGCTGTTCAGGTACCAGACCAGATACGAGCCCCCTACCAGCAGCAGCAGCCCCAGCCCCAGCCACCACAGCCGGCTCCATCAGGGCCACCAGCACAGGGCCACCCTCAGCACATGCAGCAGATGGGCAGCTATATGGCACGTGGGGATTTTTCCATGCAGCAGCATGGTCAGCCACAGCAGAGGATGAGCCAGTTTTCCCAAGGTCAAGAGGGCCTTAATCAGGGAAACCCTTTCATTGCCACCTCAGGACCCGGCCACTTGTCCCACGTGCCCCAACAGAGTCCCAGCATGGCGCCTTCCTTGCGTCATTCGGTGCAGCAATTCCATCACCACCCCCCTACTGCTCTCCATGGAGAATCCGTTGCCCACAGTCCCAGATTCTCCCCAAATCCTCCTCAACAAGGGGCTGTTAGGCCACAAACCCTTAACTTTAGTTCTCGGAGCCAGACAGTCCCCTCTCCTACTATAAACAACTCAGGGCAGTATTCTCGATATCCTTACAGTAACCTAAATCAGGGATTAGTTAACAATACAGGGATGAATCAAAATTTAGGCCTTACGAATAATACCCCAATGAATCAGTCCGTACCAAGATACCCCAATGCTGTAGGATTCCCATCAAACAGTGGTCAAGGACTAATGCACCAGCAGCCCATCCACCCCAGTGGCTCACTTAACCAAATGAACACGCAAACTATGCATCCTTCGCAGCCTCAGGGAACTTACGCCTCTCCACCTCCCATGTCACCCATGAAAGCAATGAGTAATCCGGCAGGCACTCCTCCTCCACAAGTCCGGCCTGGAAGTGCTGGGATACCAATGGAAGTTGGCAGTTACCCAAATGTGCCCCACCCTCAGCCATCTCACCAGCCCCCTGGTGCCATGGGACTTGGACAGAGGAATATGGGCCCCAGAAACATGCAGCAGTCTCGTCCGTTTATGGGCATGTCCTCGGCACCAAGGGAGTTGACTGGGCACATGAGACCAAATGGTTGTCCTGGTGTTGGCCTTGCAGATCCACAAGCAATCCAGGAACGACTGATACCTGGCCAGCAGCATCCTGGTCAGCAGCCGTCTTTTCAGCAGTTGCCAACCTGTCCTCCACTGCAGCCCCACCCGGGCTTGCACCACCAGTCTTCACCTCCACACCCTCATCACCAGCCTTGGGCACAGCTCCACCCATCACCCCAGAACACCCCACAGAAAGTGCCTGTGCGTCAGGTAAGGAGGCGTAGAGTCCGCCCACATTGCAGTCTAAAGGCTAAGACGGTTAACTTGCCTAATAGAATTTCCCTTTAAGCTTCACAAAAAGCCTTTTCACTATGAAGACTTAAAAAAACTTCCAATAAGAATCTTTTCTCTTTTTTTTCCTATCACTCCCTTTATTTGCTTACACATTCGTTCATTCAAGAATTTTTAAATCTCTCTGTCCCTGGAATTATACTAGGTGCTAAGAGATTGGGTGCCTGCCAGTAACCCAGGACACTAATCAGACAAATGTTTTTGTTTTTGTTTTCTTCTCTTTTTTCTTTCTTGCTTTTTTGCCCTCTTTTTTTTTTCTTAATACACTGAAACTTGGTTTCCAGCAAAGTTTTATATATTTGTCTTTCTCATCTCTTCTTTTACATTATGATTTTTTCCTTGAGAATTTTTTTCTTAGAAAACTGTAAAATATGTACATCTGTATTATCTATTTTACCAACTGTTGAGTGTCAGTATAAATTTGAATTGTAAACTGTAGGACACCACAGGAAATGATAATCTATAGAATTTAGTGTCAAAGAGCTCTGAGTACCCAGCTCTGAAGTAGGAGTCTTGTTTTGTAAGCTGAAATTTTTATTCTTTACAATTTGTGAGAGAACAGATTAGTTTTAAGCTCTAGCATCCACAAAGACACCTCTCCATTATAAATTTTGGTGATTATGCCCTTGAAAAAACAAATTAATGTGAAAATAAATCAGTATCCATGTGTGCAGACTATTCTAAGTGCTAGTGTGTGTCACATATTTTGAGGGGCACAGTAGGTGATTTAGAGCCATAAAACATTGTGCTTGTTGTTCTTGAACTTACCAATTTGGGGAAATATGACTTACACGTGAAAGTGTAGAACAGAGTTGAAGACCATGCATGATTATGTGACAAGTGTTTTGAAAGAGGAAATACCAGTGGTTGAGTTGAGGGTGCTTGAACTATGACTATGACTTGGGGAAGTGATCCCAGGAAGACATTTCAGGTGGCATAGGTGGTTTCCTAAACAAGGGCACGTGGAGTTGAGACTGCTGCAGGTAATAGGCATGGGATTCAGGGGCCTTAAGTTGGAAAGTACAGGCCAGGGCCATACTTTTGAGTTTTTGTATTCTGTTTTAAGGAATTGGACTTAAATGAGGAGTCCAAATTGATGATAATGCAGTCCACAGGACAGATGGAGAAGAAGCAGATGGAGTGCATCCATGCTCGCAAGGATAGTTTGGATCTGGGAGCAGAAGGAGTTGAAGCAGTGTGGAAGTAAGAGGGTTTGATCAGGAAACAAGTCCATTCTAGTATCTTAGTGTAATTCAGTACAGGAACTCTGGCTAGCCCAGGCTGCAGGAATGGAGGTCAGAAAGGTGCCTGGAACCTCAGGACCTGCAGGGGTTTCAGAGGCTCTGTCCTCAGTGGTAGGGCACATTTGTGCTTCTCAGGAGACCTCCAAAATCAGCAGAAGGTGTTCCCAGCCCCGCACCACAGGAAACAGAATATGTGGGCAGCCTGTTCTCCAGGAGGGAGGATTCTGGGACATGCACAGGGAATGATGGGAAAGGGCTGGGAACAGCGTGCTGCACAGGTACCAGGGTAGCAGAAGGCCTGAAGATCAGACCTAGTGCTCAGGAAAAGGGTCTGAACGTTCCTCCTCTTAATGACCCTAAGTGCAGTCTGAAGGCCAGCCCATGTGGGGGGCTTCTAGGGCAGAAGTGAATGTGATTTAGTTTCCAGAAAGTATTCTTATTTGGTGGAAAGTTGCTTACTGAAGAAGGGATCTTGTTAGAGTGTTGGTTTGTCAGACTTCTTCCAGCAGTTGGAGGCAAGCATAGTTTGCAGGAGACATCCTGGCAATGATTATAGCTGGCTCCCTGGGTGAGAATGGCTGTGCCTTGCAGCTTTCCTGAGTCTAAGAGCACAGACACCCTGAGAACATGAGACTGGTGTGCTGGTACCCGGTTTGATGCTAGAGGCCGGGAGGACCCAAGGGCACCATCCTCTTAGTCTTCATAGATGAACTTGGAACTTTTGGTAGGATGCAGATGAGGATGTTTGTGGTATTTTCCTTATAAGTGCAGCTACAGTTTCTGTTTTTCTCATGGTATTTGCTTTCTTGTTTCTGATTAACTTCAGATTTTGAAGCACTCAATTTTTAAAATAATATACCTCTTTAGAGGTGTAAACTTTTGGGAAGACCATGAAGTCAAAAAGGTATTTGAATTACTGCTCTCCTACTTAGTAGCTTGGTGATTTGGGGCAAATGATTTAATCTGAACCTGATAACTTCATCAGTAAAATGGGAAAAACAGTAGTTATTCCAAAGAGTGTTGAGATTAAGTGGGGATGATATATTCTAAGTGTATTGTGTACTGCTCACGGTGTATATGCTAATTCTTTTCTAGGTTTTAGTTCCTAATTTCCTGAAACTGAAAGCTGCCTTATGTAACTGTTACTGCACAATGTAGATAAGAATGTAAAATTTATTTTTAAGAAACAGTTTAGTTGCAAAATACTAAATTTGATTTGTGCATCTATTAATTCTTTCCCCTTCCAAATTTAGGCCCTGTTGCCACATGAGGAGAATAATACCTGTATTTCACACTGGACCCTAGCAAATATTTCTAACTATGTTTTTGTTTTAGAGCTGCTAAGTTTGTTTCACATTTAATGTATGATACAAAGGCAGTTCAGAATTATGCTGGATAGTAGGGTGGAGTAGGGTAAACAACTAGATTAGCTGGAAAAAAGTATGTAATTTGCTAACTGAATTGCCACATTATATACGTTTGTAAACTCTTGAATGTCTCAATTTTTTTTTCTTTTTTTTTTTTTTTGTGGGACTGGGGTTTGAACTCAGGGCTTTGTGCTTGCAAAGTAGGCATCCTGCTGCTTGAACCATATGTCCAGCCCATTTTGTTCTGATTATTTTGGAGATAGGGTCTTGTGAACTATTTGCCTGTGCTGGCATTGAACCACAATCTTCCCAATCTCAGCCTCCCAAGTAGCTAGGATTAAAGATGTGAGCCACTGGTGCCTGGTGAGTTTTTCAAGTTTTTTAAAACAGAATTAATGCTCTTTAATTGTTCCGTGTATTTTGAATGGATACTTTTCTAAATTATATAGCATTTAAATGTATCTAGAGATAAGCTTACCTTTATATTGAAGGATTAACAAAGGAAAATATTAGAACAAAAAATTCATTGAATTAAAAATGGACAGTACTACATTTTGATGTATGGAAATATTTAACAGAAGCTCTAGACTTTTGATTATTTGGTAAGATTTATAGGGGAAGGGAAAAGTCTAGCTTATATTTCTTTTTAAATAGTTGCTTACAACAGGAGCTCTCAAGCCTTTTCATTTCAGATCTCTGAACTTTCATAAAAATTATTGGGAATGCCAAATAACTTGTATTAATGTCTACTGTCTTCGAAATTTAAATTGAAGGAAGTTCAACGTCCTACTTTGTTAATCGTTTAGAAATAATAAGGCAGGAGCTAGGGGTGTAGACCACCTCAGTGGCAGAACGCGTGTTTACCATGTGCTAGGCTGTAGGTTGGATCCCCAGTACCAACACTTAAAAAAAAAAAAAAGCAGTCGTGAGCCTCTGGAAAAGTCTATTGCCCATTTGGAGCGATGGAGAGTGAGAAGGCACATAACTTCTTGGTATCATATAGAAGTCGTTCTGACATCATAGACCCTCCAAGGTTCCCAGCCCATGCATTTAGAACTGATGGTATAAAGAAAAATACAGGCTTTGGAGTCTTAGCTTTTGATAGAAGTACCACCAATTCCTAGCGCCCTGACCGAAGGCAGGTTCCTTAGCCTCAAGAGCTCAATTTCATTATCTGTAAAGAGAGTGCTCTTATACCTTCCTGATTGGAGGCATTGTGAGATTAGCAGCACATTTTTAAAGTATACCATGGGGACTCTAAAACAATACATTATCAGGTAGCAAGTGTTCAAAATTGTTTGCTGCTAAGTTTTTAAAAAAAAAACTCACTTATTTCAATGTGAAACTTCTTGTAGTTGTTAACTTTTATTTCCTTGGTATCAGGGAACATGTAACAAATATCGAGGTGTTCTGTTTTGTGCCTCTCATTGAGAGAACAGTGTTGCTGGCAGAATGGTCAAGTGGTAGAGCATTGCCTAGCTACAACCCAAAAAAAAAGAGAGGGGATGGGAAAGGGGGCAGATGAGGATACACTGTGAAATGTGCACTGGAGAGACCAGCACTGGGTGACCCAGTCTTAGGGTGTGATTGATTGGCTGTTATGTGGGAAGGCTTTCTGGAGACAAGAGATGTCCTTGTTGACATGTGGAGGATCATTGCCAGTTGAGAGAAAGGAGGAAGGAAAGAGTTTCAGGCTGAGGAAGCAGTGAGTGCAAAGATGAGAGAGGCTCATGGGCCTTGAGTAGCTTTCCCATTCTGGTATCTGGGACTGGACATGGGAGACGGAGTTGCACAGTCTTAGCTCATGTTCCTAGGGTGCCCTAGGAGATTTTCATAGTAGACACAGCACCATCGGGTACTCTGCACCCAGCAGTGAGAAGACTGGAAGGGGGGGTAGGACCACAAATGGAGTGTTAATCCATGCGTGTGAACATGAATGAGAACAATTTAGAAGGAAGGCAAGAACAGTATTTTATTCATTTGGAGAGCTTATCCAAGGAAGACTGTATACGTGGATTGTCCTTCAGGTTACAAGCATGTCCCTGAGTTTCTGGATCATTTCTTGTGCCCGCCCACCATTCACACTGGTATCCCAGTTTTGGGTTCCTCTCAGATGGTAAATTCTGGTGGAATTTTTTGGTGATACTGGGGTTTGTACTCAAAGCCTTGTACTTGCTATGCAGGTACTGTACAACTTGAGCCCCTCCACCAGCAAGTTCTGGTGGAATTTTTAAGATCTACAACATTGTCTTCTTAGAATATGTGTATTTTGGATATATCTGTGCTCCCTTTCTTACTTTAGGCCTCA